TGCAATCTCCCAGTGTACCGAGACTCAGGCATGGCATCTTGAATGGAAAGCGTCGGTTTACCATCATGGCACGATCTGTTGTTGTCGATTGGCTCTTCTTCATCGCGGCGAATGTCAACCTACGGTACCTGCAACTTTTTACTCCCTCCGAGGTTACACTTAACCTCAAGAAGAAGTCCCTCATAACTTAATATCTTCCACGATTTCTCAGATTTTTCAGAATTTGAGAATCGAGGCGCTGACATACTGAAAATGATGGATAAGTCTTGTCTTATTAGACAAACTATCCTCGATCTTAACATGACTGGCCTGAATACTCTCATGACTGAATAACCATGACTTGACTCTCACATGACTGAATCACTTTTGTTCGAACTCTGAAAACTATCCCGAGACAACTTAAATAGTCGCTTCGAGATTGAAAACGTGATATTTACTGACTTACTTGACCTGATAAGGTACGACTTCAAGTTTCCAGGTAAATCTGGACTAATGGTCTGTATATCAGACCGCCACATTTTACCCGGCTGAACAACTATTATACGTCGACCTTACATCATGAACATAAACTGTAAATCGTGACCCTGAACTCTGTACTATATAGGGCTATTCCAGTATCAACTGGTCCCGCAAGTACAAAGTAATTAGCTGATCTTGATTTCTGAAAGTCATAACTTAAAATATTATGACTGATAAAATATCTGACATGACTGACTTGAAAGGTTGTTATTACCTGAAATCTTACTGATTCGGCCCCAGCCTCAAGCCTCCATGGTATACCCGGCTGAGTGGCTCTTATTTCAAGCCTCCATGGTAACCCGGACTATTGACTCTTATACACTGGAACCATTACCTTAACAATGACTTGAGAAATATAACAACCTTTAACATGAAAATTCTTGCCTTGAACATGACTTACTGATCTGACTTAGGAACTTTGAGTTTATTCCTCGAATTAAATCAAGGAATTTCTCCCTGGAGTCTTCCAATTGATTGACAAAATGGCAGTTCTCGATAAAAATATCTGAGAAACATGATTATTAAGATTTGTTTAGCACGAGTGCTTACAAATCTTCTGACAAGTTCCTAACTTGACTTGAATAAATCTAGAATTGAATCTAGAGTTCCCAAACTTACTCCTCTTTCTATGGTTCTGAATCCACTCGTCCCCAATATAGGGATTTCTGTTTGCAATATTTTTGGGCAAGTAGTAACCGAGTTACCCGACTCGGGTCGTTCT